TCTCGTTTTTACAACTTGTGATGTTATATCAACATTCAGGCTTCAAAATACCGCACATTGACAAATGCAATCCCTTTTCTATATACTATAGTCCACGTCATGCATTATTAATAAATAATTGAGGTTGAAATGTTATTTTAATTAATTTATTTTTTTTTTTTTTCATTTTTATCCCAATTTTTTGATTCTTAGATGGCCCAAATAATAATTTCCTGATATTTACTAGCATATGTGCTGTTTAACCGAAAGATTTGGTGTTTATAAACTATTTGTAATATTATATATAGATTATAGGTACAAAATATAGAATGTAAGGCAATGAAAAACACCGGTTTCCAAATGGTTAACCAATATAGAATCGCAATAGCCAACAACAATAACTGATTTCATTACAAACACATCTTTCTAAAATTGCAAAATTCTTGTATACTTGTTTTTATTATTTTGTTGCACACTTACAATCCAATTCATCGAAAAACTTAGCTTCCTTGGGCAATTCCTTTTGGATGGCTTGCTTAAGTTCTGGAGTGACAGCTGTGTTGTAAATTGAATTGTAATTTTGCGATGCACTTGCAATCACTACACACGTCCATAGTGGTATGAGCCATCGTATCGAGTAGCTTAGCATAGTCGGTCGGACTTTTGGCAATTCTCTCGATTCACAATTTTTGAGGAGAACCAATTTTTGTTCGATTTAATTTCAATTTTCAATACGAGGAGTACATATTGTGGGATAAGACGATAATAACAAAAGGTTTGCACTAATTGGGCCCCGTTGTGACAAAATTTTCGAATTCACAATGATTGTCACAGTCAAGCTTAATAAGTTGCTGTTGTTGTACCGGCTGTTGGAATAATATTTTTGTTTAGATTGAATTTTGTAATTTGTTATTGGTTTCGTTGAAAATATTCACTTTGAATTTTTGATTCGATGTGACTAGGTATTGTCAACACTTGTAAATGCAAATCACTTTGAAGAAATTCGCGTAATTATTTCGAACGGAGTACGGGCGCATACACGGGGTCGGTGGTGAAGGCAGCGCTGGTGGTGGTGGTGGAGGTCGCGTAAAAATTTGTCGTCTGTATTGAAATGTATTCCGGTGTAATCGATCAGTATGCTTTAACTTCGAAATAACTAATAACACTGGACGACAGTCAGCTCATGCCAATCCATGGACGAGCGTAAATACGCTCTTCAATGGCGTTATCAGCTCACACATGGGAATATATGATTTACGTACTCAATGGCGGTTTTGCCTAAAGCTCAGCTCAGCTCAACAATGTGAACCGCAATAACCGCCAGAGAGGCAAAGCAAAACACAACAGTCAAATGAAATCGAAAGTGAGGTGAGTCAATATAGGTAGCAACAACAACAAAACAATGTCGATCGAAAGAGACGTGGAGTCACACTTAAAATATTGGGGGATGGATGCATTGTCATTGGGACGGACTTGTTGTTCGCATATTGGCACAACGGCGGCCGTGCCGAATAGCAACTTCAGCCGCTACTCAGCCAACAAATTGCGTGCATTACAACATTAACAACAATTGTAAGTGCCGATGCATGGTGTTTACCCCAATAAACGGTGTGTGACTGTAAGCTTCAAAGACAACCACCGAAGAGGTTGAGAAGCGTGCGGTTCCTTATGAACGTAGCGTTTTGCATTTTTATTTGAAAATCAGCTGTTTCATGCAGATAATTAGTCGTATTATAATAATTTGGAGAGTAGAAGAGAGAGAGAGAGAGAGAGTTAGAGATGGTTGAGAAAAAAGCTTTACTTTATATCCTATATGTTTAAATCCTTGTCAGGCGTTGATTTATAAACTACTTATAAATCAGATAGTTTTAAAATCACATCAATCGTTCATTAAAAAAACCTTACTTTCTAATGAAATGAATAATCCTTTTTAATAAATAATAACAACTGAATTTTAAATTCATTCCAGGGGCGCACAATCTTAATTTTTAAAAATAAATTTGTTCCCTATTGGTTTGAAGTTATCATGAAGAAGGTACCCTTTAAAAGGAAGACACTTTCGCAACGCAAAGTTTGGCCTAAGCGTAATAAATCGAATCTGTCTTAAAAATCAAAAACCTATACCCGTCATTTTAAGAACCACAACTTTGATGGTCGGAATTGATAACGGAACTGCATTTTATTTTCAGCTGTAACGTTTTGGTATTGCACAACAAGTTTAACCTTGAAATCCGTGTTTATGACACATTTAATGTGTGTGTGTTGTTTTTATTTGTAGTTGGTTGGCAGCAGGCAGGCATGTCGATTGGCTGGTTGGTTGAATGACTGACTTCTGTGTTAATTTGTATTTTGTAATCCAAGGTATTTTTCCAATTATGTCCAATAATGTTTATTTGTTTACATACGCACATACATACGATACATCCATCCATGTAGCTGCCTATATGGTATGCATATAATTTCGCAAGACAACAGAAGCAACAATGACAATTTGACACTATATAACGAAGTGGAAGAAGAAGAGGCAACGGCAATTGCACATTCATTTATTTAACTTCCAGCGGTGTTGCTGTTGCCTATGTAGGCCCAAAATAAGAGAGCCATGGTCGAATGTAGTCAAACAAATTTAGTAGCTGAGCGTGGAATATAGAGTGTGCAGGCGAATACGCTTTGGTAAATGTGAACGCATTACAATGAGAGTATGAAACCGTACAACACCGAAACAATGACAAATAAAAATGCCAAATTATCAGATAAACAAAGTTACCTCAACCGTTCGTATCGTCTTCATCGCCCACAGCACAGTGAATACATGTGACACAATATTTTTGGGGGGGCTTTTCGTTTATCTTTATCACACTGACAATAAAATAATTGTTTTTTTTTTATTGTTATTAACTAGATAGTCTTCAAAATCAATATACATTATATACTTTTTATATTCTATATGTCCCAATTTACATGGCAAAATATTTTAAAACCAATATTAAGTAAAAATGTTTTATTCTGGGGACCAAACCAAAGTATAGGACACATTTATAGTCTAAATGTACCAAAAAACGAATTAACCTATAAAACCCGACACGAAATTTTTATTTTACACTTTAATTATGATACCACATATTTAGAAGACACATACAATAAGTAATAATATAAACATACAAACCTAATACTAATAAATTTTTTTATAATAAATCATGAACATTTTATATCTGCTCTTTGAAGATGCATTTTACCTAGCTTAATTTATTTCGTACCACTGTTCGTAAAATGTATTCGTACATGACAATTCAAAATTGTACATATACACACAAGAGTACATACGCAAATAAGAGTATGTTGTTACTTTTTTATTGACTAACAACAAATTATGTCATTTTGGCCTTAAACACTGCCAATTTTAGAAGAAATTTAGGAAACTAGCACAACGTTGGTAACAACAATCAAAAGGCTATTTGCACTTAATAACAACAAATATTACAGCAACAATAATAACAGGGGAATCTCCAAAATATAAACACATAAATTGTATATATGCAGTGGTGACATGAACGACGGCGCGAGGTTCCCACTTCATCCAGTGTTTATTTACTTACATTTATATATTTGTCTTCAACTTGTTGATTAGGACAAGGCCAAACTTATTAAAAAAAAGTGTTGTTAACAACACCGAACATATAATAAAGTGAAAATAATTGAAGAGCATATAGCTGTATCCCCCTGAATTTTTCAATTGAGAGTAAAGAGAAACTTAACTGAAATCGCAAAGATGCCATAATCTCTTAATAGCTCACGGAAGAAGCGTTGTCAAAAACATATAATATTTCACAGACCATGTCGATAAAGATCCGATATTTTTATTATTTATTAAAAGCTTGATATATCTCCATGAGACCATGTTTCAGCAAAATTAGTTTATTTACACAATAAAAGTATGTCACCAACCTGAAAATCTCGCATCTTAGTCATAATCGAACAATGTCATTGGCTGAATTGGAACATCTTCACACTTACCCATCACGCATAACAATTTGACCATTCATTCATTACCTCTGCCCGCAGTTAAGAAACGTCAACGTATTGTTATGTAATAGTGTTTTTTCTTCTGTTTTGTTTTGGGTATGCTGTCAACATTTCGTCTTTGCTGCAGCCGGCAGTCACATCGTCGTCGCTGAAAGACAGCCAACCCTTTGTTTTTACTTGTCGCCATAAAATCTTATTAATATTTTATGATTTGTCTCTGTTGTAACCAATAACTGACCGACTGCAAGGCCAAGTAAATATTCCAGAAACTAGTTTTGCTTTTTTTTCTTCTTTTTTCTTTTCTATTGAGTCATTTATTTTGGGCGGTTAGTCTTAACGTTTGTATGTGTTGAAGTAAGTTTTGGAGTTCAAAAATCTAAAGAGGTAGATGACGAATAGTATGCAGTATACAGTGTGGATGATTTATGATACTGTCAGTCAAAATTGATATTCCATGTTAAAATATTCCTGTACATACGACATTTCATTGAATAGTTTTTCAACCGAGATCATTTGTTTGTATGTTACTTACAATTATTTACATACAGTAAAATCTCGATAATCCAGACTGCATTTCCCAACTCATTGTGTATTCTATATATATTCGGACTGGTAATAAAATTATATTCATAATCCGGAGTCAGAATCTAAATCCTGATTATGTAGATACATTATTTTTATGACTTTTTTTATTTACATTTCGCAAATTTTACTGAATATGACACTAATTATATTAAAAGTTAATATTTTAGCAATTATAAGGTTTTTATTTTTTTTTTTAGATTTTTTAATTAAATTTAGCAAATTTTAGTAAAAATTACACTAATTATATTAAAATTTAATAATGAAAACCTTGATAATCCGGAAAATTTGGCAATTCGGATTGGGATTTGCAGTGGATTATCCGGATTAGCGAAATTGTATTGTTTAGAGGTACCCAATCAACGTTTTCAAGAACAAATACACACAATATAGTAGAATATATAAATAAGTTTTATTATTGAATGCTTTTTGGAACAACAAATACCCTGATTACTAAAAGCCTAAAATGTAGATGTTTACACACAAATTAACTAGTTCTAAACTAAAACAGAAGTCATTGCGAACTTATTTCACAACATCTAAACAGCGTGACGCATTAACATTTCTTGAATCCATTTGGATGTTTTCTGTACATTGTGATAAATTCCCGGTTGATGGTCGACGCCACATCCAAATCCAGCACTGGTAATGCCAACCAAAAAGAAGCGACCTTTGCAAAAAAACATTCACATATAGATTAGAAACTTGCAAATGTATTATTGTCGTTACAAGACATACCTCGTTCTTTAACAATGAGCGGCCCGCCAGAATCTCCTTTGAAAATATAACAAAACATAAGCAAACGTTTTTTTTTGTTGTAGTGCCTTAAAGTATGCTTTAAATTACTTACCCAAACAAGCATCTTGATGGCCATCTGAATGCCCCGCACAAAACATTTCATTGAACAGTTCCACTTTTATTTGTTTGCTTTCATGCCAACGAAGGCACTCCAAAGAAGCTAAACAGATAAACGGTTATTTTTTTTTCATTTTCATTTAGAATCGATTTAGTTAATTTACTTATTATGGGTACGGTGGCAACTTGCAGCATATTCGTTCCAGCCTGGCCCAGACTTGCTTCTGTTTTCCCCCAACCAGCCACTACAGCTTTGCGGCCGGCCAGACGTATTGGATAAACCGGCAAACAAATCGGTAATATGTGCTCACTGAAATGTAAAATTTAATTTTAGAATTTTCAGACGACACTCCCAAAAGGTATTGTACCTAAATCCAGTTGGCTTGGCCAATTTGAGTAGAGCTAAATCATAACGATCCGGTTGAGTCATACGAAATTCAAAGAGTGGATGTATTAGCTTTTGTATGACATTGTGTTTCTCTGCGGGCAGTGGTTCCTGGGCATGGCCCAAATTTTGAGTATCTAACTCTCCCAGATAAACGGAAATATCCTGTAATCGGGCTTGTTGAACACAGTGGGCTGCGGTTGCCACCATGTTTTTCGATACAAGCACCCCACCACACTGGTATTCGGCAATACGTATGTGAGCCTGCCAAGGGTACTCGGCGAATTGTGCTGGCCTGCCACCTATGATGCGTTTTTGTAGGGTATTTTGGAAATTGTGCGGTATACCACATTCGGGCTACAACAATCGAATTAGAAGTTAATAATAGCAATCAGAGTGTTCTATATAACTCACCTTTGTGGTAATGTCATTGTCATCGCGTCTGCGTAGGAAAACACGTTTCGGCAGATTAGTTACTTTTTTGTTGTATTCTACCAAAGCGGTCTCAACTAGATTTGCAGCTGGGGAAATGTCACCGTCGGCAGCTATGCAACAGGAGAAGAACCATTTGTTATTGCCACAACCGCGAGCATGTTTACCACCCTGTAACCAACAGGAAAATGAAAGTCTGCAGGGCCATACTCCGCCCTGATGTAAACATTCCGTTGGTACACCCAGTATGGCGTTTAAAATGTCTTTGTTTTTATTTAAGAAGTAGATTTAATTAATTCTGATCATGTGTGTGTGTGTGTGTTTGGAGTAATGTTCTTACTTGCTTGTGCCGAGCTAAATCCTAATTCGAGAATAATCATATAGATGACTCCTGTTGTGAGTATCAAATTGTTGTTCCATAGGTACATCTTTGGTGAATGTTATCGATATTTCTGCTTCATTTCCATAAGAATTTCCTGTGGTTATGACTGCAATAATTAAATATATCAAACCTTTATTTGTAGGCATGGGTTTGTGTCCTAAGTCTTTTGATCTGCATTTAATTGAAATCCATTTAATCATCTCCTATCATAAATAATTCTATACCGAGTAAACGTTGTTCGCAAAATGTTTCTACATATTTGTAATGGTTGCTAGTTAATATCACGAAAATAACAACTCATTTCTGTATTTGAATTTTAAAATTATTAAAAACAAACAGTTAACCACATTAAAGGGAGATTAGCATTTGCTGGTGTGTAAAATGTTGAAAGATTATCTCTGTCTTGTTGTAATTTGGCAACTAAATTGACGGGGTTCACATGCTTTCTTAGACATGTGTGAATCAAGAAATATATTGTCATTTCAAGTGTAGTCTTGTATCGACGTTTGTGTCTTAAGTCTTTTGTTTTCTAAGCAATATCCAATTGCTATTGCACACCAATTCTCCATTATATGTCACAAATTCATAACATATTCATAATTCACGTGTATAACTGTTGTCGTTATTCCTATCTTTGTTGCTGGTCTCAGTATACTGTGCCGCATTCGTAATGACACCATTGACTAGAATTTCTACAACATTTTTACAATGACACTAGCTCTGTGATCTAGTTCACAACAACGTCGTTTTCATTTGCTGTTCTCTGTGGTAGTCTATTTTCATGAATGGGCAAGTCAACAGTCATTCATTTGTACATCATTTTCATTGACCGGAAATCAATGAATGACATGTGTCAATAGAGCGAGGGTGTTTGACTTCAAGTAGAATATCAACCTTGAGACATATATTCACGGTCACAGCAAAGAGTGAAAACTAAATTGAAATGGACATTTGTGTTAGACTTTGACAACCACTTAGAACACCTTCATCCATGTGATATATTTAGAAAATATTTAAATGTTGAATTTCTTTTATACCACTTTTATTTATTGCGATTTCATAAAACCATTATTTCGATGCTCGCTTAGAGATTTTTATTGTATTTTCTTTTTATGATGCCTAGAACGTTGATTTTTGTTTGCTCGAACGAAACGAAACGACCTTACACGTAGACTGACCAAATTAAACTGGTGCTGGAAGAGTAAAAGTATCAGCGCCAAGCCGTCAGCCATAATGTGATGACTATGTTGCATGCTTCAAGAATGGCTCCCAGTACGACATGAGCAACAGGTTCTAAGTAGACAAGCAATGTAAAGATCTTCTGTTGATAGTTAAGAACAAAATCATTTTATTAATGCATGTTGTCTAGATGTTTCAACGAAACGACGAGGGTAGCTTCAAAAGTTTAATAAAGAACCATTCGAATGGCTTTGTTGAGGCGTATTTTTATTCACCTAGCTTATTTGTTTGTTTGTCCGTATTAAAGGAATAGTGAATTATATTAAATTTTGAAACATTTCTAAGCGAAGTTTAGGAATCCATGTTTTCACTATGACTGTTGTATGGGAAAAATGTTATTTTCTTTAAACATTTGCCTACATTTTCATACCGCCCTCGTGTGTTTCATTCCCTCCATTACATACCTGTTTGTGGATTAAATACATGAATGTTTCTTTCTATTTTCCTTAAGCTAATTCCTAGGAATATATTTAAACTAGCTTTGTTAAGCAGAACGTAACGAGGTGTGCTTAGAAAGTTTTAACAAGCAAACGATGTAGGCAGTAATTAGTGTTTCCCGCCGTTGGTATTGTTTTCTAAGCGTGTGTGAATATTTTTTCAAAGTTTTTGAATTTGAAAATATATTTGGCAATATTATTTTACACAGGATAATTTAAAAAAATTGACACTGATGGCAATTACCTCTTTCATCTTTATACCATTTGAAAATGTGCAATAGAAACAGTAAGCGTAAATGTTTTCAATGTTATTTTATTTACATTTTTGTTTTGTTTTATTTTTGTTGTTGTTGTTCTCTTTTAAATAAAAAAATAAATTATATTTTGTGATTTGATTTGAATAAATATGGTTTTGTTTTAACAATCTATATCTAGTATTTCGATTTGTATCGATTACAAACCAATGTGCTTGCAATGCAACATAATAATATTTATAAAATATGTTTGTTAATAAATAAATTTAAATGGATATTCTTACAATTAATGATAGCGTGAGACGAGGAGATGACGATAGCTTAGCAGTTTAGCTTAAGTATCTAATATTAATGAGAGACCTATTATAAATATCAGCCTAAGAGAGGACTTAAGCGTTAAAAGCAATACACTTGTGTTGTGGGTTCACACATACTCCATGGATTCCATGTGTGTGTTAGTAGCAGCAATAGCCAGTATTTACAATAGAGGGGAAATCAATGAACACTGCAAGTGGATGCGGGCGCGGCAGCCTTTAAATGTTAGCTGTCAGGCCGACAACATAGGAAATCCAATCGACGGTATAGGCCACACGATGATAAATGCCAGGTTGACCTCGCGAAGCACACGAATAACCAGCTGAGACCACACCTGAAAATGAATTGCGAATATGGTACATTTGAAATCAATCAAAATTATTAATCATGGCAATATTTGGGAACATACCAATCAAGTGCCAACGTCCATTCTTCTCATGCATGAGAGGGCCACCAGAGTCTCCTTGACATGAATCTTTACCACCGTTTCGGTATCCAGCGCACATCATTTCCGGATATATCACAACATTAATGCCATTTTGACGATGCCATCTCTCGCATATTCTGTCAACGAAACATCGAAATACACATTATAAACCATTTTGCAATTGCCGTCAAATCTACAAACCGGTTTTCAATAACGGGAACATCGACTGCCTGTAATGTCTTGGGCCTCAATCGTGAACCAGGATTTAAAGCGCCCCAGCCCGCTGCCCAACCAAATTTGCCTAGGAAATCTTCATTCTTTTCGGGTAAACAGATGGGAGCTGAGAAGTATAACAGAAATACATGAAATGAAATGTTACGTTAATTGTTTTCCAGAAAACATCCGAAATACTATATAAAATTAAAATATGTGCCAAACCGGAAATGCCATGAAAAAATGTTTTTCAATTTAATATATCATAGAAATATATTTCACCCAACATTTGCATGTCATTCATAGCTCATTATGTCCATTACTCTTCTCGTGGATTTGGCACGTGCTCAAACCAGCATTTCAAGTGTCTTAGTTGGCAAGCCAAGCCAATAGTTGCTGAGTGTGTTGCCACTTTGTTTTTTTCTAGTTACTTTATTCAATTGGCAGTCGAGAGCATTTTATTTGGCCCTTCAAGAGTTTATTTGGTCGTGTAACAAATATTGGGGTCGTCTGTCATTACATCACTTAACCTAGTCAGTTTTTTATTAGAAAAATGTACTCGTATTACAGTTTAACATTCGAACTTGCTTGAAGTACGTGAGTATTTAAATAAAACATTCGAGTCCGATTAACATGAACAAATCATATATGCAGTCGATATTTTAGAATGTAGGATTTGTTTTCAAATCGCGACGGCGCTCAAACAACAACACTAACAATTATACATAGTACCTTCTTCAATCTTAGGTGATACAGTATTTGGTACAACAAAAGGCGTGCATGTCCTCTTTAAGCTCTATGTTTTTGTTAACAATTCGTATGTATCAAAAATTATCGCGCATGATTAATATTTTATTTTATTCAATTGTATTCAAACCTGCATCCCTTGTTAAAACATAAGCTGAATACGGTGCCAATCTACTTAAAAAACACAATCAAAAGATGGAACCTTGCGTACATATATCGAAACATATTGCTGTTCAATTAAAGATGTATTTTACGATTTTATAGTTATCCCATTATTTTTGCTACAAAGCGATTGTGAACATATTTGTTAAAATTCAAGTTTATTGAACTGTCTAAAGCGTGCCTAAATTTGCGAAAGTTCTCCATAATATCGAGTAGACTATACGTAATGTAGAATACAAATATAAATGTTATGATTACCTATGTGAGGCATAAAATGCACCGTCCTTTCCAGTGTCAGCACAGAGACATCGAAACGATCAGCTTGAGGAGTAAACTTGAAATAGGGATGCACATCAATTCGTCGGACACCGAAAGTATAGGCTGGTAAAGGTTCCACAGCCGAATTAATGACATAATCTCCCAGAGTAACATGGACTTGACGAGGTGTAGCTCTGGCCACACAATGACCGGCTGTTACCACATGACGCCGTGATATCAAGGAACCACCGCACCTAAACATTGGACATCACAATAAAGTATCGCTTAGAAATTAACAGGTTACAGGTCACTTACCTTGAGGAGCCAATACGAATGTATGCTTGCCAGGGAAAAGATCCAAAGCCGGCATCATCACCACCGACAATACGTCTCTGGGCGGTTTGTTTTGCCAAGGATATGCCACAGCCTAGGTATGTCATAAAAAAAAACAAATATTGTTGTTGTTGCTTTCATAATTATCCCAAAATGTAAACCATAGACACCAGATAAATATTTGAATATAGATATTAATACGGGTTAAGCTAGACATAAGAAGTGCAACATAAAGCAGATACATTTAATGCAAAGCCAAGCTAAGTACATGTGAGAGCCAAAACACTACTTGATGTGTGGGTAATTACGATTTGAGAGCCTGATCTTCCGCAGGAACAATGCTGGTCTTGGTTAGCGTTGGATTGTTTAGTTACATTACGCGATAGATTGGGAACGCCATTGCTGCTCGGGTCTCTTGGCGAACACGAATTTCAGGGATCATTCATGCATTTCAAGACAACAACAACAACAACAACTTCTGCTACTACTACTAAAAATGTCCCCATAACCAAAATGGACTTCTACAGTTTGTCTAAACCTTATGCAACCACTACCCTACAAATATTCAGCGATACTTCTACAATTTATAGAAATTACCAATGGACAATTAGATTTTAGAATCAATACTCAAGACAAAGGAATTATTCATGCGTGTCAGATCATGCAGCCGAGTATATACATATATGTAGCCTAATTTAGTGCAGTCGTTAGCAATTCGCCCGTACAAAGGAGGATAACATGCAAAACTTTAGCACCATATGTGTTTGGAAACACTCACTGCCCCTCTATCCTCGTGTACCAAGGCGGGGCAATGGTGATAATTAGAAAATGCAAGGTGGGAAGTGATCGGGGGACACATGAGTTGAGAGCGTTTAGCAAGTGCTTTATTACGGGGGACCTTTAACCATCGTTGCTTGGCCGGACCATTGTGATTCTGGCTGGTGTTCGTGCAATTTTCTTTTCTTTCTAACACTCACTGGGATCGTTTTTCACGGGTCCATAAGTCTTTTGCGGAAGATCAGTCAAATCGATTGTGTTGCCCACGTATTCGGAGGTGCGCAAGTTGGCTGACTTTGCTGTGCGATGACAGCAGCCACGCAACAAGCCGTGACAAGTGCCCTGCAGCAGGCCGCCAGTCATCCAGCAGCCTATGAAAAATTCACAGGTTCCACCGCGATGCTGGCACTCCAATTCGCTTGTGATGTCAACTGAATGTGAGAAAGAGAGAAAGGAGAGAGGAAGCATATACCAGTGTTGCAGAGCGGTGCAATGGACCTTTGACTACTTACACTGGGGGCAATTCTATAGTAGAGCGGCCACTGACCTCTATGGAATTGTCCCCATTCGCATTGTCATGCTCGTGGTTAATATTGAATGGCGAAAGCTTTGTGATTAGTTGGTACTATAGGCTATTCTGGGCTTACCTTTTTCCTTAAAGGTACTGGCTGACTGAGCTCCATTCAGACTGCTACTCTCCGAGGTACTGTCCAGATCCTGCAAACTGAATTCATTGCGCACATCTTGAACCGAAGCTAACTCGTTCAGACCGAAATTTTGATCACGAAATACCACATTGTCATTAAAATAGACTCCTGTTCCGGTTGAACTGGGTCCCGTTGTGCCCACATTGTCGTTGGTGGGAAAAACCACACGGGGACTACGCGATGACTTGAAGGGATAATAACGACTTTTACGTGAACTCGATGGGTCTATGTACTCATTGAATGTTTTCTGGGGTGAAAAAGGCCGTACTAGAGAACCAGTCCGGAACTCTGTATCACCGAAGAACAAACCTCGCTGCGGCCTTTGCGGTAGAGCAGTAATGGGCCCATTAATGTCACCAAATTTTGTAACCTCTTCACGATATTGTTTCCCAGCTGCCACGGCAGAGTTTAATGTGTGGGGTATCGTGCTAGCTCCTATACCCGAAAAATCGTATGAGTAGGAGGTTGGAGAAACGTCGGGTTCGAATACCAACTGACGAGTTAGACGCTTATCTTGCAAAGGAACCTCCTCGAAGCCGGACGTCTCGCCAAAAACAGGGTTGTCCTCTCGGTAGCCTTGGGGTTGGAATGGGCTTGAGGGGTTCAGACTGTAACTGGGAAATTGGAAACCCACTCGCCGACTGCTTGTCTCTTCGCCTCTGTCATAGCGATCTGTTGAAGTAGGTGTGCTAACAGGAAAGCTATCGCTGCGTTCCGTTCTGTCAGTCGATGGTGTCACCTCATCAGCAATTTCGGGAACAGCTGGGAGGACATCACTTGTTGGTGGTCCCAAATCACTTAGCGATGCATTGCCCTTAGGCTTGAGCTGTAAGAGATAGTTCTGGGAGGGGTCTGGCTGCAAAGGAATATAAAGGTAATTTCGTTTACGACCTTGCCTGGTGAAATTGTTGCTCAATGCAGCTGGTACCACATTCTTAGGAATGGTTATCAAGGGGCTGGAGGGCAGTTCCACTGCTGGGGCATTTATAATTTCTACCTCAGCATTGTCGGAGCGCCGGTTTGCTTGACGAAGATTGGGGTTACCTGAGCGGCCCTTGCGATATGCACTAAATGTTTGTGCTGCCGAACCATCGGGTCTAATAACCACATTCGGAAAGTTGGCCACATCCGCCTTCGAAAAACTTTGATACGGCGCATAGAGATTGCGTGCCGTGTTCTTCGGATCCCTTAGAGGCAAGTGTTTGTTATCTAGCCATGGTGGCTGATTGGGAGAGGTAGCGTAAGGCTGTGTCGATGAGGCAACTTGAAAGGGAGTTGTAGGCGTGGCTGTCAACTGTAATGTCGGCGCCAACGATGGTGTGTGTGAAAAGTGCGGGTTACCTTCAATCAGCTGAGCTGTTGCCGACACTGCTGATAAGACAATGAGAGACCAAATACTGCATTGTGTGGTTGCTTTCATTTTACATCGAGCTCTTCAATTAATGACCTTGAAAACGTATATTTTGATTGTATAAATGTGTTGGGGAGCAATGGGTTTGGAAGCAAAAGATAGCCGGCCAATTGAATATCCAAATGCCAGAAAGGAAATTCGGGATGGAAACTGGTTCGCTTGGGAAGGAAATGAAGTTACTTCCGCTCGCCTTCTGACTTAGGGAGTCACGTTCATTGAACTCCTTTTCGGAGGCAATGGAATGTTGTTTCGAAGACAGCAGCGTTTACCTCTTTTCCTGTGTAGCAGTGTTGTTTGTTTGGTCTCACAGGCGCCGCTATGATCTGATGATTATGTACCTGCCACGGATATCTCGTGTTGCAGCAATTGCTGGCGGTGTGCAGCCGTTGTTGGTGCCGAAATGGGCAATGATGTCGTGCAGGGGTATGTGTAAGGAACTGCCGGCGTCTTCAGGGGATGAATGAAGAGAGCGCGTGGCGCGTGAATGTTCCGAGGCACTTGCGTTATTGCTCCAGTTGTCAGCTTGTACGCCAGCACTTGTGCTCTGCTCTGCTGCTAATGCGGTGATGTGGATGCACACAACTCGTCTGACAGCGGTTATTGGTCTTTTACAACTTGGCCTAGCTGTCTGTCCGCCAGCTGGTGATTGCTATTTGCAATTGTTGGCAACAATAATTGGTTAGCAAGATGTTTTGGCTGCCGCTGCTGTTGCTGTTGCACGTTACACACCTTGAGTTATTTCGGCTTAATGCTGTTATTACGTGAACATGAAAAACCAGTGTTAACAAAGTCCGCACATCGCATCACTGGACGCTTCGTTTTGTTTTATTTTTCGTTTTGATGTCAGTGCTGCCTCGCTTGTTGTTTTTGGGAAGAGATATCGAAAATAGACTTCCTTACTGCCACTTGCCTTGCAACGTAAATAACTGCAACTGCAACAAAAACAAGAAAAGGAAAGATGTTAGGCGATTAAAACAAAACGTGTCTATTAGTTAAAGCATGCATCCGGAAGTCATGGATGCGCGCGCTAAGGAGTTCAACAAACACATAATAACGATTGTGTGTGTGTGTGTGAGCGGTCAATATTTGACGTGGAAATTCAAATCACGGACCACGGCTTAATACGAAATAAGGTCAATGTTCCGGATGGCAATGAGCATTTCTGAAGCTGCAGTTACTTTGCTTTAACCATAATCCCGCCAATGTGCATGTGTTTGTGGGTGAATGCATTTTATTGCAATGTAAAAAAATGATAACATATTTTTTAAAGTTTGAATCTTTCTTTGCTCAGTTATTGTCAAAATAATGCAAAAATTCATAAAAAGCAAAACTTTCACTGCAAACGAAAAAAACGGGGGCCAAGACTGAAACTAAAACGACAGATAGGTCTGTACGCAGATGGTTGCGTGATTCAGTAAATATGTACGTTTTTTGTACTCACAAAGGGTATTCCACCACCTCTGTGCTCCATCTCCACATCCATCCGGTAAACTGTCTGTGGAAAGCACCAACGAAATGACAACTATTCGACTCGAAGCCATTTTATTCCAGTCATTGGAAACTCCATTTCTTTGCATCTCTTACAAAAGAAAAACAAAAAACACGAAAAAAAAACAATGTTTGAACAATGCAACAATAAAAGGCAACCGCATAACGTTTACGTACAAATAATGCGAATGATTAGCGAAAACAAAAGGCCGAAACAAAGGTAACATATTCATTATTTGGTCGTATAACAAAGCAACAAACCTAAGACAAAAACACCAACAATAGCAACTAACAAAGACGACAAGACGACAAATTTGCCAAATATATTTATTTGGGCAATGGAGAGACGCGGGTAGTAATAGTAACAATAGTCCCGAGGAAATTAATTATTACATTGTGTTTTTTTAGTTTTATCTCAAAAATACTGAATCCTAGCTCATACCAGATTCACTCATGTTTAATCACACATATTTTTTAGGTCTTCAAAATCACTGAACCTTAATGTCAAAATAGATCTCATTTAATAAAAGTTAAAAGAGTTCGTATGTAGTCAAAAAAATCAAAGGAGTCTAGTTTGGAATTTGAAAAATTTCACAGTAACTTAAACATCTGATTCAAGATAGCGGAAAATTCCAACTGATATGATTCTTATAAAACATTTTTGGATTTTCGTTGCATTTACATATATGTTCAGCAGTAGTTACCTCATATCAGAATTTTTCAAAGTCAATAGGATATGAAATAAATTTTTATCACACATTGAACTACACCCAAAAATGTCTTTCACTTATTTATTCCCCTTTTTCCAGAAAACTGTAAGAATTAGTATATATTTTTTTATGGAAAACATTTTTCCCTTTTGAAGTTACACCATTGTTTCTATTCACTTATTTTCGTCGTTATCCAAAGCTGTTAAATGTTTTCTGAGCGTAGCTATATTTGAAATTTATTCCATTCATTGTTGGTAGGCATTTTAATGGTTGCACAATATTTGTAGTGACTGGAAACTGAGGGGCTTCCATGCCAAATTAATGACATAATCGCTTGAGAAATGGATACAATTTAATTAATAATCATCATTAACGAGCAGAGCCCCAGACGCAAAGACAGAAACACTTACAACTATTAAATGTTGCTGTGACTGACTTGGGTGTCGGTATCTGCATTGGCTGGTGCTAATCGCTGTAATCACGCTAAATAATCCTTCACTGCGAAATGCAGAATGCTTCCCACAAAACACTTTATTTTAATAAAACATTTCGAAATTTTAACTAATCCATGTTAGTTGTAAATATGAACATCATCATAAACGTAGGCATATCTTTTGAAATATATGTAGTTAAATATATTTGTGTGGGAAATGTTTAATATGTACACACCCGGCATTAACACTTTAAACCTAAGCAAATGGGAAACTGAAATGAAATGCCTCTTTTGTTAACTCATTTGTTGCATTCAACAATAAAAACAAACTTTTGGGGGATTGCCAGATGCCTTGAGTGTGTCCCTCGTCATTTCTGCTTCTTTGCCGTTTTCACTTTCAATAATGAGTTCAGCACACTTTAAGAGGATGTTGTAATAAAAAAGCATTTAACCGCAAAGAAATACAAACTCACTTTCATGCACACACACCATACACAAAGACATTTTACTTTCGACCAACAATGTGTTGTTGCAAAAATAAAGGAAGAAGAAGAAGAAAAAAGAAACAAACATTCAAACAAGCAACCATTTCCTATGCGGGAGGGTACCAAGTCCGCATGATCAGTTTAGCGTTAAGCGATGTTCGTAAACTTGAATTTCCACTTCTTTTCCACGGTTAGTTGTTTGGCGTTGAACAAAACTGGCGGGCGGATAACTTTCCATTTATCTGCACAGCAGCAGCAGCAACAACTACAGAGAAAAGCGGAAGTAAGGTAGAAATGCCATAAAACATAACTGACCTTGAAGAGTTGCTTTTTAAAAGCATGATTTTCCACATGAAGACAGCGAGGCATGGTACAGGCAACTCGATTCACTTACGAAATTGTATAGCGAAATGAATATAATCAGTATACAAATTTATACCATGTAATCATGTACGAGTGTGTGTAGTAATACAAACACAGACAGCATTACATAGAAATGCAACAATGTTATAAAACTATGGAATTTGTGTGTTCGACCTTCACGCACGCAGACGTATGAGGACAATTTTGATACCAAATTATTTTAATTGGGATCTAATACAATTATAATATTTGTATTGAATCCCATTTAATGCCCAAAATAAAGAATAAGTGTTTTATATTGAGTGATAAGTATGCGAAGGATTGGTGCGTTATTGTCCATATCGATGTTTAATTTCAGTTTAGTGGAACAATTTTAAAATTAAATTATGTCGGCTGGTCAAATAAATTGTTTCTCTTACATTCAGATCATGTTGTATGAAGCAACGAAATTGCTTTGTGACAAATCTTCGATTTTTCACAGACATTCCTAAGATATTTGTTATTCGAAATGATATATACATATAATGGAATTTCCTCACAAAGAGGGAACTGCCTGTTTCTATAACAACGTAACATACTGCTTAAACTGTAATGTTACATGAGGGAGGTGTTAATGGGAGATAAATTCTCAACAAACAAGTAAACAAGTGTCAGTCGGTGTCAATCAATGATTTGTGGCAGTATTCGGACAGTCAGTTCGCCTAATATTGGATTTGTTGACCATTTTGGGGCAGTAACCAGAAGGAGTCGACCAATGGGTTCCATCTTCGGACTTGATCTAGCCTTGGTAAAGATAATAGGTTGTGCAAAGTTTGGTTAAAATCGGATAGTCTGTTCGCAGGATATTATAAAATTAATTTTTGGCACAATTTTGACCAGAAGGAGTGGGTCGATATTCCCCGTCTTCGAAATTGAACTATGTTTGAACGATGAGCAAAGTTTGAATGAATTCGGATACTCCCTTCGAGAGTTATCGTACGCACCAACCGGCCAGAAAAACAGACCGACGGACATTTGTAAACGACTCCAAAGTGTCTGAAACGGATTTGGTCCAATGTAGGGGTCTATATTTCGATGAGGCAAATTTTTACCGTATCAAAGTGTATATACCCTCATTAGCCATAAGGCTGAGGGTATAAAATATAGATCCATGTTTTCCCATAGCCGTCACTTGTTACTAAACGCCGATTTGGTATTTAGCTAAGTCCTAAACAATTTTCACAAGCGACGGAGATTTTATTAACTTGGTGGGGGATTAAAATTGAGTTGTTGTGACCAGTCTTTTCCAATCTGTTCTAGTGATTTGGATTTTTCTCCTTTGATTATTGACATATTCAGTTCAATAAATAACCGCGTAGTTAGTTATACCTTTTTAAACATAATATAGGTATAAAAATATTTGTACATGTACAGCAACTTTTTTAAACAATGCTTTTACCTGCACTAAAATAACCATCAAATGTATATGAATGTCTTCACAGAGTAACAAGCCCAATTCGTTTACTTTAATTTACTACGAAATTTATGCACATCCAATTATAA